CCAATTGAGCTAGATGTTCCCCGAGACCATGGTCCCCACAGCCCTCCGCCCAGCAATTCAGTCCCTCAGGGAGTTTGGATGTGTCTATGGGGCTTCCAAGGTCACCCTTTTTAACTATGTAGTCCACCACGTGTCTGTCAGTTTGTTGTACCATGGTGGCTTCTGTGTTGCTGTGATGCTGGAAGCTATGCCACCGGTATTTCAAATGCCAGCAGGGTCACCCATGGACAGGTTTCAGTGGAGCTTCCAGACTAAAGACCTGGCAGTCTACATCTGAAAAAAACTTGGCCAGTGAAAACTTTATGAAGAGCAGCAGAACGGTGTATGATACAGTGCCAGGAAGATGAACCCTCAGGTTGGAAGGAACTCAAAATATGACTGGGGAGGAGCTGCCTCCTCAAAGTAGAGTCAAACTTAATGTAGTGGATGGAATAAAGCTTCTGGGACCTTCATTTGCTGATGTGGCACAACTCAAAATGAGAAGGAACAGCTGCAAACATCCATTAATAATGGGAGCACGGAATGTACAAAGCATGGATCTAGGAAAATCAGAAGTCGTTAAAAATGAAACAGAGCACATAAAGATGGAGACTCTAGGCATTGTGAGCTGAAACGGATTGGTATTGGCCATTTTGAATTGGACAATAATATGGTCTACTACACCAGGAATTTCCTGACTATGCAAAGGCATTCGACTCTGTGGATCGTAACAAATTATGGATAACACTGTGAAGAATGGCAATTCCAGAACACTTAATTGTGCTCATGAGGAACCTGCACATAGATTAAGAGGCAGTTGTTCGAACAGAACAAGGGGATACTGCCTGCTTTAAAGTCAGGAAAGGTGTGTGTCAGGGTTGTATCCTTTCACCATACTTATTATTCAATCTGTATGCTGAGCAAATAATCTGAGAAGCAGGACTATATGAAGAAGAACAAAGCATCAGGTTTGGAAAGACTCATTAACAACCTGTGTTACGCAGATGACACAACCTTACTTGTTGAAAGTGAAGAGGACTGGAAGCACTTACTGATGAAGATCAAAGACCACAGCCTTCAGTATGGATTACACAACATAAAGAAAACCAAAATCCTCACAACTGGACCAATAAGGAACATCATAATAAACAGAGAAAAGATTGAAGTTGTCAAGGGTTTCATTTTACTTGGATTCACAATCAACGCTCATGGAAGCAGCAGTCAGGAAACCAAATGATGCACTGCATTGGTCAAATCTGCTGCAAAAGACCTCTTTAAAAGACTGAAGAAGAATTAACGTCTTTGAATTATGGTGTTGGTAAAAAATACTGAATATATCATGGACTGCCAGAAGAACAAAAAAAATCTGTCTTAGAAGAATACAGCCAGAATGTTCCTCAGAAGGAAGGATGAGACGTCATCTCGTACACTGTGGACATGTTACCAGGAGGGACCAGTCCCTGGAGAAGAAGATCATGCTTGGTAAGGTAGAGGGTCAGCGAAAAAGAGACAGGCCCTCGAGGAGACAGATTGACACAGTGGCTGCAACAATGGGCTCAAACATAACAATGACTGTGAGGATGGCACAGGATCTGACAGTGTTTTGTTCTGTTGTACATAGGGTTGCTGTGAGCTGGAATCGACTTAATGGCACCTAACAACAGTACCCAAAAGTATCTTCAGCTCTATTTTATCTTGTATTCAAAAGCAAATTCGATCTAACTGAAAGAGAGTACCTTAGTATTA